CCTCCTGCAAAAAGTGGCGGCTTTTGCGAATCCGTCCTGTGCCCGTTAGCGCCAAGAATTTGTCGGTAGCTTGGCAGATAATTATCCCCATAATTAGCTTGAGAGATAATTGGCTTGTCAGCGCTTAGGGGCTGCTCCTCGGGCTTTTTCTACTCCTCTTTTGCGAGTTATTGATTTTACTGGAGTCATCTCAGGGCTGAGAGCGGAGTCAGCTCCTTGGCTCGTTACAGCCTTGAATAACGACCGACTCCCTTGGCTTAATGATGTTCCTTGGAATTAATTATTCTTGCTGGCATCCAAACCGTGGGTCTGTGGGCAAGGGAACAGCGGCACCTTCTCCCCGCCGGCGCGAGGGACGCCCCTGATTTCGCTCCTCCTCTTGCAGCCCTGTTACCTGCGGGACTGGGAGATGCAAGTGCATTTCAAAATCCACGGGCAAGGCAAGAAAAACCTCAACGGGGACGGCTTCGCCGTCTGGTACACCAAGGATCGCATGCAGCCAGGTGAGGGGAAGGGGCCGAGGGGCTGGAATCAGCTCCGGGGTGGGCGCCTTTGGGATATTTTTTGTCCTCATCTTATGCCAGGGGAGTGGATCGGGATGTGTAGGGGGGCGTCTTATGCCGGGAGTTGGTTTTGTCACAAAAAACAAACCTGTGGGGGAAGCTCAGCCCTTCACTGGGGGATTTAATCTGTCTCTACCTTCCCTGCCTGGGGGAATTGAACCGATTTAACTGCTTGAGGCTGTCTCCTTACTGAGAACTAACCAAAGGGAGGAGAGATGAACCCTTCACTGCCCTTTTTCAGAGCGTCTCCTTCCTTCTAGGACCTGTTTTTGGCAGCAAGGATAACTTCCTGGGCCTGGGCGTGTTCGTGGACACGTACCCGAATGAGGAGAAGCAGCAGGAGGTGAGCTGGGAAGGATAAACATGGGACCGTGCTGCCTGCGACCCTTTTTTTTGAGCTCTCCAAACAGAGACCAGATACTCCTCTTGCTTTTTCTTCTCTGCCTTTCCCTGCCGTGCTCCGCGCTGTCATTTTTACCCCTTCCTAGTGAGGCAGTAGCACCTCAGAGACGCGAAAAACTTGTGGGGTAAGTGGTGTTGGGCGGCTTTACCCGGAGAAAAGGCTTTTTGGGGCAGGAGAAAACAAAGTGGTGACACCACGTCTGCGTTTTGAGCTCTGGGCCTCTCCAGAGGCTGCTGGCGAGTGGTGCTTGTGGTGAAGCTGGGCTGAGAGCCTAGGCTTTGTAAACTTTGAGTTGTAAACTCAAAGTTGTAAACTTTGAGCTTGACTAAAGACCTTTATTTGTGTCCCCAATGCATCTGTTGCTCGTTTGGGGTTTGTTGGCGTCCATTCCCCTGGAGAAGGGGGCACAGAGGTGCCCTAACGCTGGAAAACCCCGAAGCTGGACCCTTCCTTAGTTCATTTCCCCTAAATACGCGCCGTTCCCTCCCGACACCTTGTCACAAACCCCACGACCCCTTTCACCCCGGGGAGAGAGGCGAAAGGGTGCGGCCGGGATGCGCCCTGACCTCGAGGAAACGTTGAGTTTTGTCCGGGTGTCAGGTTTTTGTTGGAACATCCCGAGCGGGGACGGACTTTGTGCTCATAAAAACCTGTCGGCGCCGCTCGGGGATTAACCCGCTGTTGGGTGGCTCCTGTTGGTTTGAAGGGTTTTCTAGGGGGCAAAAGGACACGTGATGGATTTTATGGATTTTATTTAAGAGAAATAATTTGTGCGACGTGGGTGACTGGCTTCCCAGGCTGCGACTGGAAAGGAAGAGGTGGAGACACGCCGTGACAGCGCGTGGGCTCGCGGCCGCTCGCTTTGGCCTTTAAAAGGACAAAAATAAATGTTTTATTGTCGTGAGAAGGGCGGCAGGTTGGCTGTGGGGGCTTGTCGCAGCCCACGGTTCCGCCTTTTGAGGAGAAACGCTGGACGTGGTGATGCTCAATGTGGCTTTTGCCGGTTCCTCGCCTTGTGTCCCGGGCTTTGGCCTAAACCCTGCTCTGCTTTAACCCCGCTGAGCTGACACCGCGCCGAACTCTCGAGGGAGGGAGTTTCCAGGGAGCAGGTTTAACGTTAAACTCGGGTCTGTGACCGTCTTGCTTCTGTGCTCTTTCTTGCTTTGCGCTAACCCTGGACGGGCAGGCTCAGAAGAGGAGGTACAGCCCGGGAAATCAGGTACTTGCTCTTGCTCACCTACTTGTTCCCACGCTGTTGGGTTTTATTTCGGCTCCCAGGCGAGGATTTCCCTCTGGAAAAATCCCTGCGTGAGCCCAGAAATCCCCGGCATGAGCCGGGAGCTCGAGGAACGCCGCGGGGTCGTGCCGTTGTCTTGTTGAGGCAGATTCTTGGGTGGGGGTGGAAGGAGTTTGAGATGGCCAAGAAGGCCAACGGCATCCTGGCCTGGATCAGAAATGGTGTGACCAGCAGGAGGAGGGAGGTGATCGTGCCCCTGGACTTGGCACTCGTGAGACCTCACCTCGAGTGCTGTGTCCAGT